GATGACTGTGTGAATGATTGATTGAGTGAATGTACAAATTAGAGAACAAACAAGCAGCCGACTGAGTGCATGAATGAATGAATGAATTTACGAACAAATGAATAAATAATTCAATAAACAAACAAACAAATAAATGAGTGATGAAGTTGATAATTGAAATAGTGATGAATTATTAAAGTAATAATGGATCAAGTATGCACGAGTAGTATTCACATATAGACACACATTATTATTATTATTATTATTATTATTATATTATTATTGTTGTTGTTGATGTGATTATTATTATCATCATCATCATCATCATTATTAATTCATTCATTCATTTAATTTTGGTGTGAGTGTGTGTGTGTAAAGAGAAAGAGAGTGAGAGAAAGAGAGAGAGAGAGAGAGAGAAAATGAGAAAAAAGAGATGAGGAAGAAAAAGAGAAAGAGAGTGAGAGATGGATAGCATGAAAAAAATGAGTAAATTGAGAATGACAGAAAGAAAGGGCGACACGTTAATAAAGGAAAATAAAGTAGACACGTTGGCAGAATTTAAGGAAGGAGAGCTTCGAAGAGGACAAGAATGAAGGAATAATGAAGAAAAAAGACAAAGAAAGAGAAAGAAAGAAAAAGAAAGAAAGAAAAAGAGAGAAAAAGAAAGAGAGAGAGTGAGAAAGATAGTGAGAGAAAGAGAGAGAGAGAGAGAAAGGAATAAATATAAAAAAGAGGCAACGAGAGGGAGAAAGAGAAATCGCGAAAAAAGAAATAAACAGGATAGTAAAACGTAAAATGAAAAAAAAAGCAAAATGAGAGAAAAAGAAAGAGAGAGAGAGAGAGAAAGAGGGAAAGAGAGAAGAGGAAATATTGAATGAAAGATCACGAAGAAGAAAGAATGAAGGTGAAAGTAGGGAGCCAAGTAAACAAACATATCAACACTTTCAATTTTGGCATCGTGAACCCACGGTCGTAAACTATAAGAGGGGTATGATCAACAGTAAGCTAGGTGGTTGGTTGGTTGGTCGGTCGGTTGGTTGGTTGGTTGGTTAGTTGGTTGGTCGGTTGGATGGTTGGTTGGTTGATAGGTTGATTGGTTGGGCTGGTTGATTGATTGACTGGCTGGTTGTTTAGCTGGTTTGTTGGAAGGTTAGTTGGTTGGTTGTTTGTCTAATTAAAAATGATTGATAAGTTGATCAATTGGTTGATTAATTGATTGATTAGCTAATTG